CACACAAGCTGTCCCCACTCCCAGGGGTTCACTTCCTCCCTAAGATCTCGACATCCCCAAGTTAAAACCCCTTTATTTCCCCTCTGCACCCAAAATCCAAACCCCCAAACAGCACAGCCTCAGCACTCAACCTGTCTGTCACCTTGTTACGCACAGAATACTGTGTTTCCTTTCCACATAGGTAGGAATTTGAGGAAGGAGAGAAGCTGCCTTATGGAGACACACAGAGGAAAGCAGTGGCAGAATCTCTCTAGGTATTTTGTTACTCTAATGCAATAAACAGTTGGATTAATGGTACTGTGTTTTTTGCTTCCATTGAGAAGCCTAAAAAAAAAAAAAAAAAGCTACAACAGTAAGCTTCAGTTATGGAGACAGTTCCCTTGTGTGAGCTTTATGCCCCTAAATTACAAGATAAACAAAAATGAGATGTGCTGTGCTATATTTACATTTTAAAAGATGAGGTTATTGTCCCAAATTAACCTCTCAGTGTCAGTGGGGTGTGGAGGCATATTTTTGAGCCCTTCTTGCTTCAAAAGACCTTAACCTCCTGCATACTTAAAGGCTTCAGAGATCAGTAAATGACCCCCTTTTCTACAAGTATGCTGGACTGACCCAGGCCTCTGGCATTTACCTCAAAAGGTTAAGAACAGGAGGTGAGTGGATTCTCTGCTCTCCACAGAGCCACAACTCTGACTCTCCATCTCTGCCTACAAAACAGGAAGAGTCATCACTTCCCTCCCTAGGGGCTTACAGAAGGCTTCATCAGCACCCAGTGACAACAGAAATGTTAGTTATTTATAATACCCAATAGCATGCCATGTCTGTAAGAAAAGAGCCCAAGAGCACAGGGACTATGTTTTTAAAGTATGATACAATTCTGGGTGGAATAACTCCAATGGTGACCTCCTTCTCAAAATGCCAGAACAAGAGATGGACAAATCCTTCCAAGCCATGAGCCTGTCCATGCCCACCATCTTCCCCTCCCTTGAGGCTGCTCACTCTCCCCAGGTTGTCCCCTAAATGCTGGAGCCTCTCTAGAATCATTGCTGGGCCACTTTTCCTCTCACTCTGTGTTCTCTCTTCGGAAGAACTCATCCCTTCACCTGGGTTCAATGACATCTCATAACTCCCAAATGCTGGTCAGTACTCAGGCCACAGCCTCGTCCCACTGTACACCTGTAATCTACCTGCTTCTTTGACAGAACCACCTGGCCACATTGATCTGCTTAAACTGAACTGAATATGTTCTTTCCTCACCTCCACCCATGCCTGCTCCTTCTCAGAGGTTCCTCGCAGCATTGGTAATCCCTATCATCCTCCTTCCATACAAGCAGGACTTCCAGGATGTGGTGATCTCCAAAATGTGGGTCTCTAAGATACAGTATATATTGTTAAGTAAAAAATAAAAGGAAGGTACAAAACTATGTTTAAGAATATGCTATCTCTTACATGTCAAAGAAGGGACTATGAATATATATATATATGAATAAATACAACATACATATATGCCTTTGTTTGTTTAAAAAAACAATAGATCAAAATAATAAAGATAAATTACACTTATAAAAATGGCTCCCTATGGGAGGAGGAAGGGAATAGTGTGGAGGGTAATGAGATTAAAGGAAATGTCTACAAATGTACCTCATTATATAGTTTGACTTCTGAAAATGTTGTATATAAATGTTTCACATAATTTTAAAAACAAATTAAATCAAAAAGAAAAAAAAATCCTTAGAAACTAAAAACAAATTGAAGCAAACTAAACTTAACTATACGCCATAGCGAGAATATACCTGTACAGAGAAAACCTTACTAAAAACAATATTCTGACTGTAATGTAATGTTTTCCTATGGGAAAACATTCTTTTTGTTTTACTGTTTTTTGGAGACAGGATCTCACTACATGGTTCAGGCTGGCCTCAAACATGATCCTCCTGCCTCAGCCTCCCAAGTGCTGGGATTACAGGTGTTTTGAAACCACCATGCCCAACTACACAGACATAGCCTAAGGCCTAAAGAACCAACAAGAAATGTTAAATTGTTACTAGTAAATACAACACAATTATTTTAAAACTATAGTTCACATACTGTAGGTAAGAAGAATGGAGTTAACATTAAAAAGACTGCTATCCTCAGAAAAGCCTGATGGAAGGTTGGCCCTTAGCTGGCATCTCTGAACTTGGATTTCAGGAAGTTCTACCATTCCTGGGACTGCTAAGAGTGGCTCATTGTGCCTAAATCATTTGAGCAGACAATACAGCTTATGTGGAACACCTGCCTTCTTCTGGAAGTCTTTTAATTTGGGTAGGTATGGGCAGTTGAGCCTTATGTGACCAGTCCCCAGTAAAAACCCTGGGTACTGAGTCTCTACTGAGCTTTCATGCTAGAAAACACATCTCGCTTTCTGTCACATCTCCACATGACTCCAATCGAGAGCACTCTTGGAGGCTTGTCTGGTTTTTCTCCAGTCTTTACTCAATGTACCTTTTTCTTTGTTTACTTTGTTTTGTATCCTTTCATTGTGATATATCATAGCTATCAGTCCTCCTAGGAAATTACTGAACCTGAGGGGGCCTTAGGGACTTCTGATACAGCAGAACATAGCAAATAAGTCATTTTGTTAATGTTACTAGAAAACAAGATTGCCAGCATAAGACAAAGAGGTACAAAATACTAGTATACAAATCATGTAAATAGGCTGAGTGGCAGATACTTAAAATCTCACCTACTTAGGAGGGTGAGGCAGGAGGATTGCAATTCAAGGCTAGCCTGGGCAACTTAGTAAGAGCCTGACTCAAAAGAAAATTATAAGTGTTGGGGATGTAGCTCAGCACTAGAGTACTTGCCTAGCATGTGCAAGGCCCTGGGTTCAATCCCAGTACCACAAAATAAATAAAAAATAAAATCATATAAATAAAAACACTATAATCTTTTTTTTTTTGGTACCAGGATCAAACTTGGGTCCTTGCTCTTGCAAGGCAGGCAGCAGAACCACTGAGCTAAATCCCTGGTCCGACACTATAATCTTAAATTTGAATTGGAAATACCAGTATGAAATCACAGGTCTTTTTCTCTCAAAAAAATTGTTTATTTGCTATCTTTAGTCACTAAAAAAGCACAGAAGCAATTACAGCTCACTAGCGCTGATCACTTCTAGTGTTCCAACTGTGGTCTCTAAATACTACTTTCCAGTTAAAGAGATTTTTGGAGAAATGAGTGATTCCAGAATTGTGGCAGCAAATGTTCAAAATGAACCCAAGACATCTTATCGAGCCAGGAAGCAAAGAAGTTATCAAAGACTTGAAGTACAACAAGAACCAAGATACCAACTTGAAGGTCTCCCACTGAAACAATGTGAGCATTAAAAAACTAAACTAGAGGGCCAGAGATTGAGCTCAGTGGCACTGGACCTGCCTCACAAGTGCAAGGTCCTGAGTTCGATCCCTGGTACCAGGGCGGGGGGGGGGGGACCTAAACTAGTTAAAACACATCAAATATATACAAATATATTTCAAAAGCATATGAAAACCAAAGCTTCATCGGTCAACATTAGAAGTTTGTAGAGCTCAAACTTACTACTCTGAACATTGATAAAGAGAAAGAAGTAAGCACTTATTCCATTCTTTAGTATAAACACTATTTTAGAATATCCATACAGGTGATGAGAAAAATTCTTTGTTGGAGAATTCCAGATAATAGAGGAAAATGGCAAATCCTAAGTAACAATCATCAGTGGATTTTAAAACCATTTAGGTATGGGCTGGGGATTTAGCTCAGTGGTTCCGGCGCCTGCATCGAAAGTGCGAGGTCCTGAGTTTGATCCCTGGTACCAAGAAAAAAACAAAAAACAAAAATAAAACCATTTAGGTGAAAGACTGATGGGGGGATTTTATGAAGGATAGATCAGGTGACACCACTTGAACTGACTAGAACAGTGATGGTGAACCTTTTAGAGTAGTGGTGGTGGACCTATGGCACAAGTGCTGCAGGTTTGCCACCACCAGTCTAGGCTCTAATCGTATGTGTGGCAGCCAGATGCCATGTGCATGCTGACACATAATAGCAAGTACACAGCACCAGCCATGAGGTATCTGCACCAAATAACCTGCCCTAATTGGACTTGGGCTCTAGATGGAACTTCCTGTGGGTTGGACATCCGGTAACCAAAAAACATGTTAGATGACCCCAGACAAAAGCAATCAGCCAAATCCTGGGATGCTGGCATCATAGATGACAAAGACTTGCTTTCTCCAACAAATCAATGGAATGCTGTCCTCACCCTTTCAGAGAAATTTGGGAGAAGGGTATGAATAAGACTGGGCAGAAGAAGGGTACTATACAATAGTATTTATGGAATGAGTCAAAACAACAAAAAATGCAAATCTGATCACGTCATTCCCTGTCCACACTCTGAGCTCCACCTCTCACCATGTCCTGTTGGTATTCTGACACAGTTACCTTCATCAGTTTCTCGAACCAGACTGTTCCTTTACTCCTCAGGTCTCTCACCTAGGCAGTTCCCTCTCCTTGGAATGCTGTCTCATCCCCTACCTACTTCACCCAGGAGGAGCCTGCTCATTCCTTCCACTGCAGCTTAAATACTGTTTCCTTGGCAGTGGGGGCCACCCAGCCACTGGCCTAAGATATGATCAGATCAGGTCCCTGGATCCTTGTCATACACCTCAGTGTACTCTGTGCTTCCATGGGAGAAAATGCATTGTGTTTATATTTGCCTTCTCCCCAAGGACTAGAACACCTTGAAGGCAAATATCTCATCTGTCGGTAATCTGACACATAGTAAGCATTAAAAATCTTAATAGATGTTTGAACAAATCAAATATTAGTCATGTAGTTCAATACACCAGATGAGAATTCTGGAACACACTAAATCAGTAAGACCCAGCATCATCCCTGCTGATCTTGTCTGTGGTGACATTAATATAGTACCTAGAACTTATCCCGGCACTCCAAGGACCCAAGGCTCACAGGGAAGGACTCACCACTTCGTAGGACTTGGGAATGGGTATGATGATGGCCAGCACGCAGATGAGCTGGAAGATGGCCCCCAGGAAGAGTCCATACCGCAGCAGGTTCTCCAGGAAAGTGGGCTCAGGCACCTCAGGAGGAGAGAAGTCCAGGTTGGAGGCCATGACCCAAGCTGTCTGCTGCTTGAGGTCTCCTCTAATTTAGCACTCTCCAGAGCCAACTTCTAAATGCAAAGAGTTAAGTGTCATGTTTCTACAATGGACTTTAAATGGCCCCACTTGCACAAACACACATACATATTGCAAGGATATATAAAGCAACTGTGGTGAAATGTTAACAATTCTTGAATCTAATTAGAAAATACATATTCAGTGTACCATTCTTTCAATTTTTTTGTTATGTTTGAAGTTTTCCAAATATAAAGTTAAGGAAAATAAGTAAATGTAAAGGGAAACACTTCAATGAAAATCTCAAATCAATATACATTTATAGGGCCAGGGATTTCGCTCAGTGGTTTTGCTGCCTGCTGTGCAAGTGCAAGGACTTGAGTTTGATCCCTGGTACCAACAAAAAAAACAAAAAAATATACATTTATAGAAGTCCTGCTATGTTTGTTTTATTGATCCATTTATTTATCTAGTCATTCACTCAACAAATACTTATTGAGTACTAAGCCCTGAAGAGTGAGCAAAACAGATAAATCTCTGCTCCCCGAGGATTCTTGCTCAGGATGGAGGCACAAAACACTTAAGAAGGAGGGCATTATTTTATTTCATATAGTGTGACAGAAAAGACCTTTTTGAAGAACAGAAATGAGAATGGAGTGAGAGATGGAGCCATTTGCTAAAGAAAGTGTACTCCAGGGACAGAGAAAAGCAAGTGCAGAGGCCCGGGGTGACCAATATGGCCACAGAGTTGTGATCAGGAGGGAGAGTGAAAGCAGGTGAGATCAGAGGGGAGCTGGGCCAGATTTTGTAGGACCCTGACACTCGTTATTTGATGGAGTAAAATGTAAAGGCACTAAAGGGTTTTGAGCAGAGGAGTGACATAATTACAAAATTACATTTCTTAATGGGAGAAAGGACACCAAGTTGGGGGGCAGAGTAGACAAAAGCAAGATCAGTGAGGAAGCCACTGCTAAAACCCAGACAAGAAATGTTGGAGATATGAACAACAGGGGAAGTGGTGGCAGGTCCAGCCTCTGCCCATTTCTCTCACCTTCCTTCCATCACCACCACTCTCACTCCTAATATTCCAGTTGAGCAGAAAGAACTGCTCTCGTTCTCCAAGGGCACTGAGCTCTTCCTGGGCCTTTGCATAAGCTGTACACTCTGCCAAAGGCTCTGTACACTGAGTCTCTCCCACTCTGACTGCTTCTGAAGCTGCCATTCTACCTCCAAGGCTGAGATCAAGGGTCATCTCCCTTCAACATTTCTCAGCCTCCTCCTCCCTCCTGCCCCAGTCAAAATGAACCGTTCCCCCTCTAGCACATCACACATGAATGGCTTCCTTCTGCCCACCTCAACAATAAAGGGACAAATACACTGGGTGCACTTGAACCCACAACCTTTTGTGTTTTCAAAGATCTGTGTTACATGCAACCTTTGGCAAATCTGAGCTATCCAGTGCAGTGGCTATCCATAAGCCACCTGTGGCTATCTGGATTTGAAATGAAGCTTGTCTGAACTGAGACGACTGGTAGGATAAACACACACTCAATTTCAATGACTATGAAAATAAGAATGTAAAATATCTCTCTAATGTGTTTAGCCCAGCATGGTGGTGTACACCTATAATTCTAGCTCCCTGGGAGGCTGAGGCAGAAGGATTTCAACTTCAAGACCAGCCAGGGCTACTTAGACCCTGTTTGAAAGTAAAATTTTTTTAAAGGCTGGGGATGTGGCTCAGTGGTAGAGCACTTGCCTCAACATGCACAAGGTCCTGGGTTCAATCCTCAGTAATATATAGACATATATATACATATATGTATCAAGTACATGTTAAAGTGATACCCTAAATTAAATTACAATACAAAGAACAAAGATGAAGAACTGAAGCTCTATGCTTTCAAAACTGAACTACCAAGTTACAGTAATCAAGACAGTGTGGTATAAGCAAAGACATAGTCTTAGGAATATAAACCAAGACAGTAGACAAACAGAATGGAGAGTTCAGAAATAAATACTCAAATACAAGTAATTTTCAAAGACAGGAACCAAGACCTTTTCTTTTCAATAAGGAAAAGGCAGTCCTTTTAACAAATGCTGCTAGGAAACTGGATATCCATGCGCAAAAGAATGCACAAATTAACTCAAAATGGATCAAAGATCTAAACCACACAAGAAAGCACAGGAGGAAATCTCTATCACATTGGATTTGGCAATGATCCCTTGGATGTGAAATAAAAAACACAAGTAACAAAAGAAAAAATAAATTGGACTTCATGTCAAAATTAAAATTTTGTTGGGCACTGTGGCATACACCTGTAATCCTAGTTCTCCGGAGGCCTGGTAAGAGGATTGGTGTGAGTTTGAGGCCAGCCTGGGCCACATGGTGAGTTCAAGGCCAGCCTGAACCACAACGTGAGAACCTATCTCAATAATAATAATAATAATAATATAAAAAATTTAAAAGTTGTGCATAAGAGGACATTATTCAAGAGTATGAAAAGACAACTCAAAGAATGGGAGAAGATATTTATAAACTTTATAGCTAATGAGGATCTAAAATTTAGAATATATAAAGGTCTACAATGCAAGAACATACATAAACACACACACACACTAACACCCCACCAAAAAAACCACAAAAACCTACAACCCAATTTAAAAATGGGCAAAGGATACATGCTACAACATGGACAAATTTTGAAAGCATTGTGAAATGTAAATAAAAAATAAGCCAGACACAAAAGGACAATTATCCTATGATTTCATTTATGTGAAGTTCCTAGAACGGGCAAATTCCAAGAGACAGACATAGAATAGAGGCTGTCAGGAGCCAGGGGAGGGAATTACTCTTTAATAGCTATGTTGTTTGGGAAGATGAGTTCTGGAAATAGTGGTGATGGTTATACAACATTGCTAGTGCTACTGAATTTTATACTTGAAAGTGGTTAAAATGATAAATTTTAGGGTTAAGGGTATATCTCAGTGGTAGAGTGCTTACCTAGCATGTATGAACCTCTAGGTTCTATCCCCAGCACCACACAGAGAGAGAGAGAGAGAGAGAGAGAGAGAGAGAGAGAGACAGAGACAGAGACAGAGACAGACAGGGATTAGTTTGATGTTTGTAGGCAGGGTCCCACTACACAGTCCAGGGTGGCCTTAAACTTGTGATGCACTTACCTCAGATTCTCAAGTGTTGGGATTACAGGCATGTACTACCACACCTGTCCTGTTATATATATAACACAATTAAGTAAAAAATTTCACCGGCTTTTCATTTTCTACTTTTTAAATGTAGGTACTACATGAGTTTTAAATTACATGTGTTATTTCTATATAGAAATATATGGATGGCCTCAGACACAACAGACTGTCTGAAAGACTTTCTTCCACCTTAGCTGCTGCTTCTCTGCTTTGCAGTTTTCTTCCAACATGAAGAACGACTGAATGTTTACTTAGTAGATAATTTTTATTATCAGAGTGGGACACACACAAATGTTGTTTCTCTTTCAACCTGGTTACTTTGGAAGGTCATGTCCTTGGGCTAGCAGAGCAGCCACTTCACATACCAGTTTTGTCTATGCTGGAAACAGCCTTCAAAGCCTGTGCCCCCCCCCCTTTTTTTCTCCAGAGCTGGCAGATCTTCATCCTCCCAGGAAGAATCTGACTTCTGGAAAAAGCCCAACATCATCTGGTTCCAAGTGTGGTGAATCAGGTGGGGCATCATGCTCAGGAATACCATTTTTGGTCAAATACAAGGTATGACGCTCAGAGTCCAGTGAGATTGTTTGGAGTGGCTCATAAACTGGCCCTGATATGAATTCCACAGCAGCTGCAAGAACAGCTTCCCTGGAAGAACCATCCAGCCCCTACAAGGCACCAGCACATGAACACCCAGACTGAAATAAGTGATCTTAGCTGGGCTTGGTGCACACCTGTAATTCCAGCACTCTGGGAGGCTGAGGCAGAAGGATCCAAGTTCAAGCCTAGCCTGGGTAACCTAGTGGCTTAACAAGACCCTGTCTCAAAATAAAAAATTGAAAAAGGGCAGGGGATTTAGTTCAGTGTGAAGGCCCTGAGTTCAATCCCCAGTATTACAAACAAAACAAAACAAAACAAAAAGAGCAGTCTTGTTTCTTCAGATGCACCTTATAAAGTAAAATGCCTTTGGTCCCAAGGCATTTATACTTATAGTTGTAAATACTCAGATTTATTAGTGCTACTAAAAGTAACATAATTATGAATCCTGGGGGTCGTACAATATAAAGACATGGCTGGGCATCAGGAAGGGGTGAAAGGTGAAGGAGGCAGCACACAGGGTCTGACTATCTGCAAGTAGCTAGACTTTAGGCTGATCTCTTCACAACTTACAGACTCGATGTTCTCCTGAGCCAAACAACATCCATTCAAAGCTATAATATATTTAGGCTTCTTTTTTTTTTTTTTTTACTGGCAATTAGGCAATATATAACAAAAAGCATAAGAGTGATTATATCCTTTCACTGAGTAACTTACTTCCTAGAATTTATAGTAAGGAAACAATTCAAAAGAAGAAAAAGCCCCTGAAAAAGTTCATGGCAGTGTTATTCATAATACTGGAAAACAGGAAGCAACTCATGTCCAGAAATAAGGAGGCAGTTAAACTCAGTTATGGTATATTATGGTGTAGTCCCCCTTCACTAAAATGGCAATATAAATGGCATATAAACACTGTGTTACCAGGTGAGTGGGGAGACTTGCAATATAATACTAACTGAAAAAAGTAAACAACTGGATAAACACTGTGATTGCAACCATGTATAAACTGATTTCCTTGGATAAAGATCAAGAGCCCATAATAAGTAGCTGCTAGTAAATTGGGGTCCTAAGCTTTTATTTTTTGTATTGATTGAAACAATGAATACAGTTTAAAAGAAAAATCTATGTCCTACCCACTTCCTTCTCAAGACTTTTAACAAGGTAGAATCAAGTAGAGTCCAATAAAACTTTTACTGACAGAAATGTTCTATACTTGTGTTCTCCAAATAGCAGCCACCAGCCACATGTGGCTACTGAG